AAAAAAAAAAAAAAAAAAAAAAAAAAAAAAAAAAAAAAAAAAAAAGAACTCACCTGGACGCGAAAGAGCTTCTTAGAAATCCGAAAAGCTGAGGAGTAAAAACGAAGATTAGGGATCGAAGAAAAATCACAGCAAACACAGAAACAAAAGCAAGCCCTAGGTGGGTTCGTTCTTGAGAAAGGCTTCGATTTCCCAAAAAAAAAATTGTTTCGGGTGGAAGAATATTTTACTATTCCTCAACTATAAAACTAGTAGCGGGAAATCGGACACGTGGCGAGTGGAAGGAGAGAAGAGAGAAGGGATATCAGAATTCGTGGACGAGAGCTCGAGACGAAATCCGATCAGTTTCGCGAACGTGATTGGTTCAAATTTGTAGCAATCGCTAGATTCTCGACACGTGGCAAGGGCGGTGGAATATTCCTTTGTGAAGTGGGTTCTAATAAAGTTTGGCGCCCGGTTTTGCTGGCTGACCTAACTACTTGACACATATATACAAATTCAGTGGTCTCTTTCTTTTCTTTAATTTTGTCTGCCCATTTCTTTTAATAATCTTCTTTTTTTATATTATATTATTTAGAATATAGTTTTTTTTGTATCCATTTGTTAAATATTATTAATTAATTAATTTTCCTAGTTGACTTAAAATATGTTTTCTTAGTGCCTTCTTCATATGATTATTTATTTGTTAATTTATAACGTTTTGGGTTCGAAAAGGATATAAAAAGATATTTGAAACCTTAGTTTCGCTGACTTTCTGAGGTATAACCTTTGCCACGACATTAGTGGTGTAGCTGTACACCTTCGCCATGACATTAGTGGCTTAGCTCTTCGCACTTTCCGCAGACTTTTTTTGGAGAGAGAGAGTAAAGGGGTGGTACGAAAGATCGGTCCATTCCACTTGAGTCGAAGAGGGCTACCCAGACCAGATTTGGTGAAAATTTCTTGTGAAATCTTTAGACTGAATAGGAATTGGATTATCAGCAAGGTTTTGCATTATCATGGGGAAAGAGTGATAAGGGGCCAAAAACAAGAAATAGTGGAACCAACTATCAACAAGACAACCACTGATGCATATGAAAGTTTGATGAGCAACCAAACTAATTCGAACAGTTTTCTTTTAAGTCAGTAACGGATCTCATCGATTGAATTCACGTAATTTAAAACATCCTACACGTTCATCATCATGCATGAACACGAACACGAACAAAGAATTGCAACTGTGACCCCAACCCAGAATGGAGCCTTGAAAGACTTTCCCAATGAGCAAGGGGAGTGGGACAAAGCTTCCTGTGAATCCAAATGAATGTTTCAGCACACTGAAGAATACAAAGACCATTGCCTTCCTTTTTTTGTTTTGTTTTTGTTTTCGCCGACCTCCTTCCGTTCGTGCCGCACGTATATTTGGTAATCCTCTGGCAAAAGGCTTGAGCTTCTAAACCATGTATGTCATGCCAACCTGCATCAGGTGGGTGTGGGGGACACTCAAGTTGGCAATACCCCGCCTGCTGTTCTTTCTTAAAAATGCATAGAAGTAATTGATCACTAGCTTCTTAATAAACCAAGAATCCTTTCTGGCTCTAATATCTCCATGGCCGAGAAGGTAAACCACTCCTGATTCTTTAGCCTTTCGTATAAAAGAAAGCTCTCTCTCAAGTGATTGTTCTGCATCTGGGATTGAGGGATCTGGAAATTCCACTGCCTGATCTTCTTCTGGGACGTGGATGACTTCACTTATGGGTCTAGCCTCGTTGAATTCAGCAAGCAGAGGAATGCCAAGTGAATAGACACTTCCATTTGGACCGACAAGAAGTCGAGAGCTGTGGATTTCGTTGGAATCAGTATCATCGTCTCCCTCACTCTCTAACGATCTTTCTTGTGCTTCTCGACGGATGAATTTCTCGAGGCTTTCAATTAAGAGCTGCTCGAACATCTGATGATTTTCCTTTCGAACGTCCTTGTAACCATACCTGTTAAGTGATGAGCCCACAATGAAAGATTATATATATTACATCCCACGGAGAACAAAACACCATTTATAAGGGTGTGGAAACCTCTCCCTAGCAGACACGTTTTAAAAACTTTGAGGGGAAGCCCGAAAGGGAAAGCCTAAAGAGGACAATATCTGTTAGCGGTGGGCTTGGGCCGTTACAATATAAAGGTAGAAGAGTATCACATATAGTTATCTAAATTAGTCACATACTGAAAAAAGATCACCAAATTTTATCTTTTTGATGAGAAGATCAACCAAAATGAATGGGTTGCAGCCACATTTCTTATGGAAATTGAGTTTTCGTACCTGGCAATGCAACGAAAGATGTGATAGCTCTTTGGGCAGACTCGGCGGAAAAGAAATCTCTCACTCTGAGGCACGACAGGAACTGGTATGTACTTGATGCAGACAAATATGATCATTGAATGAACTGCAGGAAGAGTAGTCAGAAACTGGCCAAATACTGCAGGTATTCCTTTCACTAGTTCATTATATAGCAAACCGATGCCAGGAGCTCTGAGTGTCCCAAGGTTGCACCCAAGCTCCCGCATTAAATCCATTGACAGCTTTTGCTTGACTTCAGTTTCATATTTGAGCTTGCTTCCGTAGTTCCAAATATACATAATGAAGAACATAATCACTGCGAAGACCAATATGATCCAACTTCCATCACCCACACCCCATAACACAGACGAGAAAAATATCAGTTCCATCCCAAGAAAGATCATCGCAAAACCCATTACAATGATAATGTTTATCTGCCATATAAGAAGCATAACAATGGTTGCCAAGACAGTAGTCATCATCATCACTCCGAGCTCGGCAATACCTGCAAGAAAGATTAGTTTAGCAAAAAAGATCAGGTAGAGCATATAAAACCCAAGAGAATACGTGGTAAGGGCATTACAGAACAAGGGTACAATAATTCAACCTCCATATGCCCCCCCCCCCAATATTCCATACACTATTTGATTAAGAAAAAACACCAAATTTTTCATTATACATTGAAAATATTGGATACAGTTCAGATTGGCTTGTTAAGATGGAATCATTATCCGTATTTACCTAACCTGGGCCAATCTTCTTCTTCTTCATTTTTTTTTTTTTTTAAAGAAAAAACGTGACTGAAAGAAAGATGAAAGAATACATTGGCATACAGAAAGAAAAGTCTACAAAAGGGACCCATACTACAAGAAATGACTCCGATCAAGAGAAATAAGACCTAACGAGTAATTACAAAGAGCCTGAAAGCAGAAGCCCAAAGAGAAACAAAGAATCTAATAAGGAACCAAAAATTGCTATAAAAACGCTCACGTCCTTCCGGCCAACTTATCCTCAAAGATAAATCATTTATGGTAAAGCAATTGAAATTTTGGATCATGAGAAAATGTTAACATTACCATATGCGTTTCCAATCTCATACATGCTAGAAATGGAGCAGACAACCACCAGGCAAACGGCCAACAAAAACCAATTCAACACCGGGATATAGATTTGCCCCATGAATTTCCTAGATGTATGAATGATCTTAAGACGAGGAAAACAACCAAGTGCCGTTGATTGTTTTATACACGAAAAGGTAGCTGTAGTCATTGCTCGACTCGCAATTAATGCAGCAACATTAGCAATGAGAAAAACTGGCCAAAAGGCACTTTCTGTAGACAGTAAGCAAGAGACTTGCATTAGCAAAAGCACCCACTGAAATTATAAAAATATTAAAACATCGAGCTTCGCAAATCAATAAAGATAATTAATGAGCCTTACTGGGAACAGAATTAAAAAATACGTGCTCAGCTCCATTGTGGTTTGATATAAGGTAGGCAGCTTGACCCAAATAACCCAATAAAAGACAAGGCAAGACAAGAAACACAAACGTAAGCTGCAAACATTCACTAAATAAAATTAGATATCAAAATTCAGAAAACGCTGAAAGGTGAAAGATTGCACAAATAACATCTTCAAAAGTGCAAGGTTATCATATAGAGAGGATGTGCGTAATGTACCTAATTCAACAATCTTAAATTACATCTTCCTACCTGTATTGACTGCACAGAGAAATAGCAAAGATCCGCAAACATTGCCTCCGAACCTGGTAGTTGATGGTCAGAAATAAAATAAGAGGGTTAGAAAATCTCCATGCTGATCAAAGTCACACCAAATTCTTTTTTTTTTTTTTTTTTTTTTTTTTTTTTTTTTTTTTTTTTTTTTTTTTTTTTTTTTTTTTTT